AGTTCATAAAAGGAATATATATATAGATATAAAATATAGAAACGAAAAATTCCACATACCTGTTTCGTACGATTTACTATGTATAACAAGCAATTGCCAATAATACTTAATTACATCTCTAGATCCTGGAGTCATTATAAAAGAAACGGGACGCAATCTTTGTAATTCGACGTAAAATTTCCCAATTAAATTAACTTTGGAATCTAAAAGTTTAAAAATTGGGGATGATGTATCCTGAAACGAATTCCCTATAATTCGTATTCAAAATATAATAGAAGATAAGCTATATTTTTTAGCGAAAATCATTAAAGCGAAAAATGTATTTCTCAGTAAAAAATCTTACTTAAAGTATAAAACTTTTGTAAATGATCAAAAGCTAAAACAAAGAATGCCTATTATAGGGAAAAATATTCTCATGATATTAAGATAAATTTTTAGTGATGAAATTATGATTATTATCTCATTCACCTTAGTCTCATCAACTCTGCTAATATCTTGAAAACCGTGAACAATTAAACGTCTAATAGATTTCAATGCAATTAATGATGTTTCTAAGTCCATTGCATTTCCAATATCATTAGAAGTTGAAATCATATTGAAGAACCGATTGGTATGCTCTACATAAATACTAGCAACATTACGAAGTAATTCTGGCGCGACCTTTTTATTTCACAAAATGTTAAAAAAAAATATTTTTTAAAAACAAAAAAAAATAAAGATAATAATAACAATGACCTGTTCAAAAACTTTCCGATCTGGCCCAAATGTTTTTGAACATAATGCCTTTACTACTAAATGTAATGTTAATATTGCCCTCTTTTGTATTAAAATTGAACGAGGATCAGCATTTACAATTATCGTTGAATGAATAATAGATAGCAAATTTTGAAGAAGGCTTGGCCTTAAGTTGTTGTTTTGATATAGTTGGATATATGAGTATGTGATTTTATATATAGATAATTTTTAATATTAATATTTAACATTGATACATACCAATCGTTAGGAAAATCATAGCGAGCAACTTTGGAGACTAGAACTGCACTTTGAGTCGCAAGCTAAAATATTCAAAACGCGTTATTAGTTTGTGATACCTATAAATTAATTGTTTCGAATATTTTGAGTTGTTATCATACTTGATTATGACTTTCGTCCATAAAAGACAAAAGTTGATTTCTAATCTTTGCTTTTTCTTCGGGGTTGATAGCACTTGCAATATAAACATAAAATCAATTAATACAAAACTTTAATCATCTTAATCAAAGGATGAGGATTTTGTTACTCACTTTTTTGCAGTTTTACGCCAATATTTATCTATACCATTTTTGAAAAATATAACTCCAAAGAATCGGACATTCACATCAATAGTTTTGTCATTGATAATATCCTATAAACGAATTCCGTTTATGAATATAATTGATAACGAAAAAAAAGTAAATAATTTAATTAATTAATAAATAAATTCTTGTAAATTATGATTGATGATATTTATCATTCACATACTAATAGTTTTGATCGAATCGATTGTTTCAGGGTCGAAAAATAAACAAATCAAAGAAATATAATTAATTAAATTAATTGGTATTAATAATCGTATAGTAACGAATTTTTATTTTATATCTTATATAAAATTTTGTTACGCGTAATAAATTTTTAAACAGTCAAAAATATCTTTTTAAATATATGTAAATATTTTATAACAACGATATCAAAAATATTTCCATTTCTGATGTAACTAATAACAGGAAAGAAGCTAAACTTTTTTATAGTTCTTTGCACGAGAAGTAGTTACAAGAACCAAGTAACATATAAACTTTTTACGTTCTAAGGTGTGCAACTTCAAGCTTTCCAACTAACTCACCAGTAATGTAGAGTAAAATTCTGGAGCCACCTCCCATTGTTTAAGCTGTGCCTCAGCAACTTTTATTCGCTCCGGTTGTTGTGAAGCTGCTTCTGCTAAAGTTTGTAAAAGTTGTTCGCGAGGGGAAGACATTATTGTTTTTTGACCAAAGATATATTCTAAAAAAATTTTAATGATAAATGATAAATCTTGAAATTAAAAATTTTGGTACTACGTATCCAAGTAAAATAATTTCCGGAAAAACTCAAAATTACGACTGCCTAAACTATTTTTTACGAAATCATTTTATACTTATTCTAATAATCAACGTAAAATATTTAGAATATTAGATACTGTATATTTCAAAAATCAAAAATTTAAATTACAGTCAGACCTCTTTAAATGCATTCTCTCTAAATGTATCCACCATATATTTCTCTCTAAATGCATGCTCCCATTAATCCCAAGCATATAAATAATTTCTCTTTAATTGCACACTATGATCCTAAGGGGAATGCATTTAAAAAGGTTTAATTATAATCAAAATTTTAAAAAATAATGTAATTTGTCAATATATTTAAATCAAATTCTTAAACATTATATTAAAATTTGAATAAAAATTTAATATTG